TATTAAACCTGGAACTAACAAAAATTAAATGATTGCCTATCAACATGAAACATTAAATAATCAGTTGCATTCATTTCTCATGGCTCTATCTGCAGCTTTTCCGGAGTCATTTCTTATGATTACATTTTTCCACAGGCCAACAACAGCTTCAACAAAACTATTTCTCTCAAAGAAAAACCCAAACATGCCCTGCTGTCGTGAGAGAGAAAGTGCAGAAGGAAACATCCATTAAACTCAGTGTGCTGCTCTGTGATGCTAGTTCAAGCCAGATACTTGGCATCTCATCTTGGGTGCAAGTTCATCAATGTTTAGGCTCAGGCTCTGAGCGGAGGAGACCCTCAGGATTGAGTGAAGGTGCAATATACCGGCGGGCCAGATCTAATAGTAATTAGAAATTATCCTGCGGGCCGAAATTAAATCCACCAAGGGCCTGATTTGGCCCCCGGGCCTTGAGTTTGACACACGTGCTATAAACAAAGCATGGTTGTCAAAACCTTTGCTCTGACCCGCAAACATTACACTTCAACACAACTAAATAAAGTTTAGCATCTAACCAGAGGGGAAAAGGGCAGAGTGTATTTACATATGTATACAAAAATAGTCAGATATTATGTAGCAAGTTATCAAGAAGAGTGGGTGAGTTATAGTATGACAATCATCCTGCTAATTGCCAAGGATAGGCAAAGCATTATTTAAAAGAAAATGTTTTATCCATGACAAAGTTTAAGTTAGAGAGAAGCCAGACCTAAGTGGTATTTTTAATGGCTCGGTTTAAAGAGGTCCTATTATGCTTTGTTGGCGTTTTCCCTTTCATCTAATGTGGTATACTGTAGGGTTTTGTGTATAAAATAAACCCTAATTTACTCACCATATAGAAGTCACTAAATGCAGTACAAGTATTTCCCAGCATAAAATAAATAAGTGAACTTTTAAATGTTGTGAATGTGAAAAAATATTGAGCAAAAGCAAACGACTGGACTTCTGACCTACCATGGATAAATGAAATACACAGATGAGCCAAGTAGGAATTAGTGTGTTATTTATTCTAGTTTTGCATGGTTAAAATCAGTCATATCGCCTGTCACTATTTCACTTTAAACATGCCTGTGGTTGGGTTTATGTGTCTGTAACATCAAGAACGTATAAAGTCAGCTTAACATCATTTGGGAATAAAATCAACGATGTACAATTGATAATGAACTTGTGTGTTTCAACAGCTTTAACAGATCGTCTCCAAAAATGGTCATGACCTGGGACCTTCGGTATCAGTTCACTACATTCACCAGTCGGATGATAACTTACTTGTATTCTTAAGATAGCAAAATGTCCCTAAATGTGGATTTATTGGATTTCGAATGAAAGATGAAAGTTATGAGACCCGGCACTCCCTTCTCACTTTGTGAGAAATGCGCTTTTAGTCATATTTTAAAAGCCCTGTACTAGCAATGAAAGGCCCTCATCCATATCAAGTATAGTAAAACTAATATTTGCACCAAAAAGATGAAAAACTATTAAACACCACTTTTTAGATCTTAGGTAATTTTGTAGAAACCAGCTCGAGTGCGCTAGAATTTGAAAGTCCACAGCCGAAAAAAATCTGCCCCTTCCTTCAGACTTCCTCACAGAGCCCCTCCTCCAACACACACGAACGCGCACATGACCAATGAGGGCACGAGATAAGTTTGTGCACAGATGGAAGGCTGACAGGCAGGTAGGCCGTCCAGTTACTTTAGCCGGGCCGGCTCAGATGATTGGTCGTGCTTTTTACAGCGCCACGGCTTCAACAGATGACATTTGTTTATGTATTTTGTGTCAAAGCACTTAAGATATTCATTGCTATCGGGATGTTAAGAGCATTCCATGGAATATAACAAAAAGTGTATCTCGAGCCGGTGTCTCAAACTTACCTACCCCACCTTTAATTGGACATCCAGTTAGTTCAATTAAAAGTAAAAAGGGCTTCAATGTCACTTTATCCCAAAAAACAAAACAAACAAATCAGTGGTCATTGCACTTTTGTTCAGTCTGATCACCCGACACACACACACACACCCTTCATAAGTCAAATGATGTTTGAGTATACCAATTTAAAAGAACAGCAACCTTCACAGGTGATCCCATTCATCCCTATTTGTATTGAGGCCGACACCTAAAACTAGCGTGCTTAACGTTTATCATCATCACCGATGAAACTGAGACGTTTTTCTCTTTAGCAGAAGTAGGGGAAATGAACTCGCAGGTATTCTGTTTCACAATGTGCTTTTGTGCAGAACTCCCTCAATGTTAGCAGCCATGCTACTCCAAACAGAGGGCCTCCTCTCCTCCTCGTTCATTTCCTCATAATAATGTCTTTGTCAAATAACGGCTCACCTTGCCAACACGTCCACAAATCTAAACCGCTGACTCGCAGACACTTTCAACACATGAATAAAATCATATAAGGAAAGTAAATATGGAGGGAGAGGGAGGGAGGGGTTGCATTCCCCTTGTGGCTCCCTATTGTCACATGTACATCTGCTCCTGGTTAAAGCACAAGGCCCGGGCGACGCCTGTCACTCGTTGGGAAGTCTGCAGCGATTTGGCTCAGGGGGATAACAGTGGGAGGACACACACACACACACACACACACACACACACACACACACACACACACACACACACACACACACACACACACACACACACACACACACACACACACACACACACACACACACACACACACACACACACACACACACACACACACACACACACACACACACACACACACACACACACACACACACAATTTAACCCAAACTTCCTATCCCTCCTCTCCAAAAGAACTTGTTTGCCACAAAAGCATAAAGCAGTGAGTCGTTGTTTGTTAAACTACGTGGTGAAGCTAAGGTTGCGGTCGTGACAAGTTAATTATGGTTATGATATTCAAAACTAAATCAAATTACTACAAAAATTGTGAAAAGGGACTTAAAGCAGTTAACCCACAATAGAAAATGTTACCAACTCTGCTTTCAAAGCAATGGCCTTTGATTAGATGAATAGATTCGATTGAATTGTATTCTCATTGCAAAGAGTACTTAATACTGCGACAACTAAATAAAGTTTAGCATCTACCCAGAGGGCAAAGGGCAGACTGCATTTACATATGTATAAAGAAATAGTCAGATATTATGTAGTACGTTATACAGAAGAGTGGGTGAGTTATAGTTTCTAATACGATTGAAATACCGTGAATACAGTGTCAGAATGATGTGGTTCATTATGGACTAGCTCTATTTTCCCCTGATCAAAGAGATGGCAAGCTTTGTTACATTCATCTAAGGATATACATATGGAGGTAATCCAGAAGAAGTTCATTTGTGATATATCTTATCTATACATCTTGTACCATTTAAATCCCCATTTCATATTAGAAATGTAAAAAGGAAAATGCTAGCTTTGTTACTGTCAGCTATTTATAAACCATTGTGCTACCAAGACTTCATTCATCCAATTCAACCTCCTCTTAGAGAGCAGCACAATAAGATATTCACTATAAATGTACTGATTATATAATAAATATATGATTAAATACTGTTGAATGTGAATATAGGTTGCTTTATTTAAACTGACAAGGGAAAGGTTATGACTTCAGCATGTTCTGAAATGAATAGATTAAAGCGAGGACAAACTTGACCGTTTCCATCCAATTGATTTGTGAATGATGAAGAGTCCTGTAAGCGGTAGGAAAAAAGGATACATATATATGTGAGTGTGTGCATTGGGTGGTTAGAGACTTTACTGTTGCTCTCCGAGCTCATTTAAGTCTAACCCTCCAGTCAAAGAAAGGTAACCCGAGCCACTTCGTGCACTTTAGGACAACCTCAGCCGGCGGCTTAGAGCAGCAGACGTCTAGCAGGCGCATGTGTTCGAGCCAGGGATGAGAGACGTATATGTAAGAGAGGAGCGACGGCACGGGAACAATAGTGCCTCTGTGCCACGGCACCCCTCTGGATCACATTTCCTCAGAGGTCCAGATCGAAATGAGGCAGGGGCCCTGTCGCTGATCTAGCAAGCGAGCGCAGAAAGCCACACAGAGGGGAGGGTGCCGTATGTCAATAGTGATTAGGATCACGATCACAACTGTGGCGGGTGTGGGGGCGCACAGAGGAGGAAGAAGGGGGGGGGGGGGGGGGAGATTTTGCCCTCCTGAACTTTATTGTCTGGTTGCTGGTAGTGGGGAATGTGTCCTGGACTTGTTTAAAGTTAAGTGCGTGGATCAGAATACATTTAAAAAAATAAAGAAACGTCTTTAGAAAGTCTTTGTCAAAGCTTAGCCTTTCATCATCTTGTGATTTGTGGTTAAAGAGTGAAGAAAGGCATGACATTTCAGATGTAAACAGTTTCAAAGTGACATGGAGAAGTGTGCTCGTCTTGCCTGTTTTATGCCAGATTCTGGAAACACAGAATCTCAAAGCACTAGTGGAAAAAAATGAAATATTTCCACACTCGAGCATCATGTTCCCACTCCTTTATTTCAATTTCTCTGCCAATACATTTTTGTCCGGCAATCCTAATGAGGATCCTGTTTGTCTAAACATGGCAGTAAAATAGTGAGTGCTCCAATTCAATGCACTTCATATATTTTTCCATTCCTTCGAGTCATAAAGTGATGTATGATGACGTTAAGTTTTAAGGTGGTCCCATGAATTTGCAATGAGGTCATAGTTTTCTTTGTGGTTTTATGCGTTTCTACATTCAACAGTTGCTGAGCTGGCGTTAATGTGAAGTTGGTGCTTAATGTCAGGAGGATGTCGATTTGAATATTTTCAATTTGTAACCTTTCATTTTTGTTCAGCATTTGACGCATGACATGTCTGCTATACTGCCATATCGGTTACATATACAACTACAGCGCTTTAGAAACTGGAACAATGTTTAAACAAAGTAACACTCCTATGACTGTGGACTCAGGGTAACGTGTGAACAATAATTTGTTAAGCATTTTAAAGACAAACCTTTCAAAGTCAAAGTCAATGGAGGAGAACCGTGATTGCAGGATGGCCCAAACTCCCCAGAAGAAGTTGGATGCCTGGTGGAAGAGAAAGGAACATGTTCAGTACAATACTTCATCTTGTCTCTAGAGGAATGGCAGCAACAACATGTGACGGACATGCAGTCCTCATGCACTCTTTTGAAGATCCGATTAAATCTTCAAACGCACGCTTCTTCTTGCCCCCTGCAGGCGGGTCACAGTGGGGGCAGAAGTCTTCAGCAGGGCAAACACTCTGGATTGGAGACAACTAATTCAATGACAGACTCATTGCTTCCATGCAGCTAGTCCATAATACTCATCTGGGGCTGGAATGTGTTTCAAAAGTGTATGAATCTAGATTATGGGAGAAAACGTCCAGAAGACCCAATTAAACTTTGAGTGTTGAGACAGGTCATAATGTGCTCTTTATTAAATATAATGGCAATACAATGACAGAGTGATGATACTTACTGTAAGAAGAATCATGAATAAATCATAAAATATATATTTATTTGTTCGAACAAGTGTGCTTGAACTGTAAAATGTCGCACTTTCATTGAACTTTTAACCAGTTCCATCATTTATGTAGAGGACATAATGTTATGATCATTCAGATTTATATTCTGTGCCTCTACTGTGCTTGTTTACTTGCTTCAATGTTCGAAACGTCCTTAGCCTATCACCTACAATTACATTGCATTTAGCTGACGCTTTTATCCAAAGCGACTTACAATAAGTACATTCGACCAGGAAGACACGACCTTGAAGAAAACAGAATCATATAAGTACATCAGGTTTCATAGAACCAAACATTTCAAGTGCTACTCAACTGGCTATAGATAAGCCAGTCCTTTATTAGTATATAAGTGCTTTGTTAATAGTTCTATCGCTCGAAGTGGAGTCGAAAGAGATGAGTTTTCAGTCTGCGCCGGAAGATGTGCAATGTGTTGGAGCAATGTGTTGGAGCTCTAGCCAATCGAAGTGCGGGTGTTACATAGTGATGTCACTATGATATGGAAGTATACAAATTAGTGGTGCACGATAATTATCGGCCCGATAATTATCGGTCCGATATTAGGAATTATGACGTCATCCCGATAAAACCGATAAAAGTATTAATAGCCCCGATAATATACAATATATTTTTGGGGTAAAAAAAAAGGAAAAATACTGCGGTGTGGGTGGATTGGGATGAGGGGCGCTTGTTTTTCACTAGGCTCCTCCCGTTTTGCCAGTACTGTGGTATTAGTGGTTTAGGAAGAGGGGAGTTTTTCACAAATCCAGCGCTCCCTAACTCGTGCCTGGATGTGACGTAAATGGTGTGCGGCCGTGAAGCCAGGACAGTAAACAAACATGTCGCCGGTAGTATGGGACTATTTCAAAGTTTCAGAGTTAGATAGTTCGCTTGCTATTTGTATTAACAAATGCAGAAGTTCCACAAGGAGGGAAAAAGGCAACGAGCTATAATACTTCCAACCTGATTAGTCACCTGAAACATCGCCATCGCTACGATGGTGTGTTAAAAGCGTACGAAGACGCCTGCGCTGCTAAACTAGCGGCGAATCCAAAGCCAGCTGCAAAGGCACCGGGGCTTTTACCTATCGACGAGGCTTTTGAAAAAGGCACTTTATTTGGGAAAATAAATATGGTCACTTTGAAGAGTCAAAACTGTTCTTGGCTTTGTTTTGTTCACAGTAGTAATGCTCATGTCATTTTCTCACTACTAGTCTTTTTTTTACCACCAGGTGTGCAAAAACTACAGGTACATTTAATATATCTATTATATTATTATCGGTTATCGGTATCGGTCTTGAGAAGCAGGAAGTTATCGGTATCGGTTTCAAAAAACCAATATCGTGCATCCCTAATACAAATGGAGTCCAATGGAGGCGTTTCAGGCAGGGGGGGGGGAATGTGGGATTCTTCCTCAATTTGTGACGTGTTCTGCAACACTATTCCTTTTTAAAGTGATATTGTAAATGTTGTGGTTCTAATTTATGTTATTTTAATTGTATTAAAGGTGGGGTAGGTAAGTTTCAGAAACCGGCTCGAGATACACTTTTTGTTATATTCCATGGAATGCTCTTAACATCCCGATAGCAATGAATATCTGAAGTGCTTTGACAAAAAATCCATAAAAAAATGTCATCTGTGGAAGCCGTAGTACTGTAAAAAGTACAACCAATCCGTTTAGCCGGCTAAACGGATTGGATTGCCGCCCTGTCTGTCAGCCTTCCATCTCGTGCACGCACAAATGTATCTCGTGCCCTCATTGGGCGTGCCGTCATTGGGCGTTCATTGCAGCTGTACTTCAATGACTCGCCAGCAACAGGCCACTTTCACCAGTCTACTGACATCATGTTCATGTGTGTTGGAGGAGGTGCTCTGTAAGGAAGTCTGAAGGAAGGGGCGGATTATTTTCGGCTGTGTACTTTCAAATGTTAGTGCACTCGAGCTGGTTCCTGAAACTTACCTACCCCACCTTTAAATTGTAAATCTTTTCTTTATTTTGTCAAATCGATTCTTATGTCATAAAATGTGTCCGATATGAATCCTAGTGATGTGTATCAGGTCCACACCTCTGGTATGTGCACACTTGTAAAAACACGTGTTGCTTGTTCTAAATCAAACATCACAGCTGTATTTTATCACCAACTTCTTTTAAGCTTTGCTCCATTTGTTCGAGCTACAGAGCAGAACTGTACAATCACACTTCAGTGACCTCCAGTTTTCACCTCGTACTGCTCTGCTCCCTCTCCGCTGCACGCCGCCCCGGCAGAATCACAAACCTCTGTATTGAATGGTTCCCTCCTTAATGGCTTTGCTCACTTAGGCTTGCAGACTTCCATGCTTCCATACATTTCTGTTGTTCTCCACCCTTATTGTAAATCTTCATGGTAGGACCACTAATAGCGAGTCCTAATAAGATCCAGACAGCCCTCTGTTCTGCGGCCCACGGATATAATCACATTTTTATTTGATAATCAAATAAAGGGCGGAATGAAATACTTGAAGAGCAATGTGCGGTTTTCCCTTGGCTTGATTCCCCTCTCTGGCAGATTTTCATCTCTAATCTCTGCCTTGAGTTGGCTTTGGGAGATTGAGCGTGTTTCCATTATGATTAATAACCACTCTCCATTAAGGCCGCATTAGTCTAACACTAAGCAGAGAGCGTCGGTGACAGCGAGCCATTGAGAAAATCGGAGATGAGAGACGTGTGCGGGCAGAGTGACATCACAGAGCCGCGGGCTGCAGCCTCGGCATCACGGGGGGTTCCCTGCGGAGGAGGCGAGTTGTAAAGACCCCACTGCGTCTTGGCACCGTTTCCCAGGGATTAAGATACGAGAGAAAGCTTCACGGCGCTCAGATTTGGCGACGGGCCAGGCTTTGTCGATGCCACACAGCTTCCTTCAGCACACTGGTTTCCTCTGCATTCAACTGAGACTGAACTATGGTGAGGATTCAATGTAGTTTGATTATTCCAAGCAATTACCAAGGGATGTTAATGCTATACAAAAGGATCAAATACAATCTCATACAATTCCTTCTTTTTTAAAACAACACAAATATTAAAAAGGCATCAGAGTGAACTAATCATTAGCTTTGTATTGGAAATGTTCCAACAACATCATGTGATTTTGCCAGATGTGATAACAAATCGTTTTTTATCTTAGATTAAGTTTAACCTGACGGCAAATTGTCCAACATTTTGTTTAAAAACTTTCATCAAGCTACTTCTGATATAATATGTATTTTGCATTTTTATTTTTGTATAGTATGATCTATAAAATGTCAAAAAACTGTGACAGAAATCCCCAAAATCCCAGAGCCTAAGGGCATGGACTTAAATGTATTTGTTACAGTAAAACATATATTTTAATTAGCAAACTTTTTCACAAAGATGTTTTGTTTTAATGAATTGTTTAATCTAGAAAATATGAAACACACCTTTTCCCACAGCCTACATTTAGGGCATGTTATCACAGACAGAACTGTCCAAAACATTCAAAACTAAACAATACTTTACAATTAATACAATAGTTCATTATCAAAAATGAATGTACTTAATTTCAGCTTTAAAATTAATCATTTTTATAGGTCATCATAAAGATTTATATAATAATTGTTTTCATTATTTGATATATTTTGTTTTGTGATAAAGGAAAACCAGCAAAGATGATGTGGATACAAGCGGAGTACTGTCCCACATGTAGTGGGTAAAATGGCGCTATTTGTTATTTTTCAACAGAGATATTTCAGCTCCATTCCTTGACTTTATGAAAAAGAGACCCTATGATTTTCTCCGTTATCAGGCTCAGTATCTCTCATTTTGACACACGGCTTGTCAAAATGAATCGAGCTGGAAACTTGGCTTGTTAAGCGTCGGTGATCAATTCCTCCCACTTCCCCCCCGAGTCAAGAGTCCTCCTCGGTTTGTCATAGAAAATCTGATTTCAATCAACATGATGTTATCGCCTGTCTCCATTCCAGGCTTTATTTCTTCCCCCCGCTCTCATTTATCCCTCTCTGTTTTTTGGCCGAGGCACGAGTTATTTAAAAAAAGTAATATGCTTCCTCATCATTTCTGGGCTATTTCAGAAGACATTCACACCACCCCAGAAATTGGTCAGGACAATTCTGCATATTGTGTTGAGCTGTGAAAGCACTTTTAGACAGATATCCCACTTGAGCCACCAAAGAATGAAAATTGTGGTTATAATAAAAATAATTTTGGCTGCTGTCTTTCATTTTTCCCTGCGGCGGTTTCTAATCAACTCAGACGGAGTCCATCAAACTCTGAGCAGCGGTGGGTCATCTGTGGATCGGTTTCTTTGGGGAGTTGGAAAAGTAAATTGTTCAAATGTGATGGTGAGGTGTTGCCGCCCTGTCATTTCAGAGGTCTGCGCACATATGGATGCTGTTCAAATGCACACACTAATCTCATAATATTGACATTTGACATTGTCTCCAAGAACTTAAAAAAAGGAAATAGCCGTTGAGAGATTTCCAAAGTGTCGAGGCACTACATATTATATATTTGTATACACATTCAAACATATTTATTTGACTTAAACCGACATATTCCTGCACTTTCACTCTATCTGCATATTGAAGTATGAATGCTTGTATGTTGTCTTCTCCTGAATGTTGTAAGTCTCTTATTTGTTTTATTTTTGATGGCACCTTAAAAAAAAGCTCTACTCATCTCAATGTACCTGGATGATGACAATAAAGGATTCTATTCTATTGTCGGCAGGAGCAGACACTCACCAGGGAGAATTTGCAGACTTGAATGTAGAGCTTCGTGACTTCAGCCTCTGTCACGGTGACCTCACGTCCTGTGCTGTGATTGTAGCTCTGCAGATACGCCGTCAGCCAATCACGCTGGAGCTCTCGGCTCGGGTACCGGCTGTAGTTCACATCGCTCACACCTTCGACACAAAACACACACGTTAGTGGAGCTACTGTGGGGTTACATTTCAACTGTTTTAGATTTGCCAAAGAGATACGTCAACTCTTCTGTCGACACTTATTCTACGTATTACATGAGTCGTCCCAATCTGTGTACTAAAACATAAAGTAACATTAAAGAAGCAGAGGAGCCTTCAGTTGATTTATTTGAGTTTAGAATGAAATAAGGAATCCAAATAAAAACTATTTTTCATTTTCTCTTTAAAAGCACATTTATTTAATAAATCTGTTTCCAATCTTGATTTAAAATCCTCTTTTAAATTGTGTTGTTTCACAAATATACTGTATGTGGTCTAGTTTGTCCCTTTAGTTGTTCAATGTTGTACTAAAAATAAAAGATATTAATATTCTGATAGTGCTTTGAAATAAAAAAAATGCTCCTTGACATACTTCTTACTTTAATACTACTTGCAAATAGTTTATCAGTATTTATAATCCATTAAAAAAAAGGTACTTTATCATTTTAAAATGTATACTTTCAGTCCATTTTACAGACACTATTTTCATTAAATGGGAAATAAAAACTGGTCATTTTAAACTTCAGGAAAAGCCCTGAATATCTCCTCTACCACTGAATTTATATATATTAAACCGTAGAGAGATCTGTGTGAAAAAAGATGAATGCCTCTGTATTAAAAGGAAATGAAACCAGGATTTTATGTTGCCACTCAAATAAATCTCCAGTACATAAAACGTTTTGTGACATTTGGCTTCTTCCAGCCACAGTTTGGCATTCTGATAATTTAGAGGTTTTGAACCCAGCGTGCGTAACACAGCTATATTTCACATGATTTCACTCACAATCGTTTAACAGTTGGCACGTGTTGACATGAAAGCCGACGCGATATGCTTCTTCAAAACTATCTAAAAGTGATGAATTGGTGATTGTTCCACAAATGTTCAAATTAACCCTGTCTGTGACACAGCTGGTACATCAAAGCGGCTTTTTATCACCGCACAGAGAAAACACTTGAATGCAGCAAATGTGTCCTGGCAGCATCAGAAGAAGGACAGTTTCATGGTACATAATGGCAGAAAGATAAAGCGATATCATAGTCAAAGATTCTGCATACCACTTTACTCAATACTCCACATTAGGCGACATTATATGTGCTGACCGTGAGACAGATCTGGAGGTAAATTGGACTTCTTTCCACAGACCTACCAGCAAATTCATTGAAGTGATTGCCAATATCGAAAGCCTGGTAGTTGTAATCGGCGTACTCGTAGTCAATGAATTTCACCATACCTGATGGAGGAGGGAGAGGGGAAAAAAAGCAGCAGTTACCACGACAACATGACGAACACATCTCAGGTAAAACCGACGACTCTCCCTCCCTTTTTTTTTTCAAAGTATAGAACCTTGTGCGAGTCAAAGGAAAACCGAGTCTCTTTTGACTCAGCGTCACCCCGGGCATCCTTGTGAAATATGTGAGAGAAATAAATAATCATAATAAAAGGCTTCTAATAATAAGGGTATTTAATAAGGTGGGAACATATTTTCAGCGGCACAAAGGAGATACAAATAAAGGGAAGAGGTATGAAGACGATGCTTTATTATGAATTGATGAAAAGAAACCCATTCATGTTCGGATTCTTCGACCACAGAGCTACAATGAAAGACTTTACTCTTATCTGTAATTAGCTGCTTTGATTTCTTCTGATTAATAGAAATCTCCTTCATGTTCATCACGATAATCTAACACCACCATGTTTCTAGGTGTCAGCTGAGATGCTCACCCTCTTTGTGGTTGAAGATAATGTTTTTCGTGAGAAGGTCGTTGTGGCAGAGGACGGTCGGGGAGTCGATCTGCGAGAGGTGTCTCTTCAAAGACTCCATTTCAGTCGACAACGTCTCAAAGCTGGGCACGGGACTGTAAGAGGTTAAAAGAAAATTACTTCAATTTCTTCTGAAATGGAGAAGGCAAGAATGTCTGAGGAAGGATTCATGAAAGAGGGGCGTCTGTGATTCAGGCGTATTCGTGGTTCAACATTCATAGTTGTACACTTAGCCAGAGTGGGATGTTTTATACAAAGACTGACAAACATACCACCAGTGAGCTTTGGTGAGGCAAAACAGCTGTTTCACACTATACATACTTATTTAGCAAATACACAAAACAGGCACTAACCTCTGAGATAATGCAGCTTTAGTGGTACAACTTTCCAAACATTTATCAACGGGGGTTAAAGTCAGAATTCACAAGTCAGAATTCTGAGATTAAACACAGAATTGTGACTTTTAATTCAGACATCTGAGAAAATTCCAGCTTTTTTCTAGGAATTCTGAGAAAAAAAAGTTCTCAAAATTCTGACTTTAATCTCAAAACTAAAACAAATACAATTCCCAAATTGCCCTAATCCTAGAGTCAGGGTTCATACACTTTTTCACCAATGATTCTCCATGACTTCTCCATGACCTTTACCTAATTTTCCATGACCAAAAACATTACTCTTTCTCAGCGGCACTGAAAATGGTTTATTTTAAACATGGAACAGGAAAATAAGGTCTGCATCTGAAACATGTTGTGCTTGTCTAAAACAAATCAAAGCTTGCTAGCTTCCACACGCTGAAGCAACTCAAATCTCTCACCAGCAAAATACCTCGACAGTTAAATGCCATTTTACGTTTCATTGCCATACGATACAGTATGTATTATCGTTATAGTATTACTATTTCAGCGATTAGATAAAATATAAATTATATTTGATGCAACTTTTGTTATATTTCCATGACTTTTCCAAAACTTTGGGAAAAATATTGTTTTCCATAACTTTTCCAGGGCCTGGAATTAGCATTTTGAATCTCCATGACTTTTCCATGTTTGTCATGACCGTAAGAACCCTGTAGAGTTAACAATAAACAAAGAAGCAAAAAGAAAATATCATTGATGGGATACTTAAATAAAATTGACTTGACTCAAGTTTCTCAAACTTGCATTTAGCTTCAGAACCTGAGCATGGATTCAGAAGTACTTATTGAAGAACTTCTGAAAAAGCTCATTAAAGATGAAAGAAAGAGAAATAGTTAAAGCAACAAAGACATTTCAAAGGCAGCACGCCTCATTGTTGGACCATAATGTTGCTACTTCTTCATATTCTTATTTTAGTAACCCAGAATGTCTCCTCTCACGGTGACTCACCTGCTTTCAGGAATTGTTCACTCTAAAATAATTTGAATTGATTGTGTTCAGCCGAGTGTCAGAGTCCTGTTGTCGAATGTTAATGCTGTTCAAAGCATTCTCAACCAAACAAGGATTTCATTAAAAAAAAGCCACGGTTCTTAAAATATTGGCCTTCACAAATCGGTTGATGGAGTTTTTGGAATATTTGAGAAAGTGTTAGTATTATATAAAGAACGTTTGTAAACAGCAGCTCAAAGGAAAAAATCGGAACAAAGCCTGTGAAAGAAAAATGAAGACCTTTGTGAACCAGTTGTCAGAGAGCGCGTACTTTACATGATGTCCTTTAAAGCATTGTTTAATGTTGGTAGAATTTCCCTTGAATGTCAAAACCAAAGATTATACTACAAGAAGTAATCCATAAAATATGGCACTTTGAATGAACTCGAATTTATCGTTTTTATCTTGAATGCACAGATTGAAAACAGACTGAACTCCCGGAACGCAGCAAAAAATACAATAATAATCTAATTATTTCGAATGGGCTAAGTAATGAAAGTAAGTTTTAAATGGATGTGTTAAATAGAGGCAGAAATATGGAGAAACATTAGGGCTACATGTGAGAAAACAATTTAAGTAAAAATGTAATCTCGAAATCTGAAATTTTTCACAGAATTCCTACTTTTTCCTCAGAATTTTCAACTTTTTTCTCAGAATTCCGACTTTTTTCCCTCAGAATTCCCACTTTTTTCTCAGAATTCCCACTTTTTTTAAAATCAGAATTCAATCAAACTTTTTTTCTCTTCTGTACAAAGAAATATGGACTTTTTCCACTATGGACTTTGGATAAGAGTGTTTGCTGGAAGAGCGCAGACACAGAAGATCAACTTTGTCCCAAACTCCACTTCTTATTTTAGGAGCAACATGTTTGTAAACTGAAGCAGTGGGACGTGCTTCTTTGAGAGGTTGCATGTCTTCTTTTCACTGTGTTGATGACTCCATCTATCAGTCTGTGAAACGCACCTGGAAGAAATGCTGCGCCAGCATCCGTCTTCTAATTCATTTTCGAGTTTCTTTTCAGGCGTCAGGCCACGATAAGAGGGTAATTGAAACACTACCTATTTATTCAAGGGGAACACACAGATGCTCCGGTATTATACACACTTGTAGACATCATTTATGAGGCCCGTTAGGAACGCACAATAAAAGCAGAGCCGTGTTTACAGACCTGACACTGAGGCTCTTCTGTCTGATATAACTTCTCCTGAACATCCTCAACAAGCAGGAAAGTAATTAAGTACATTCATACTTAAGTACATTTTCAAGGCTTTACTTGAGTATTTCTAGTCTACTTCCACTCCATAACGTAAGTATTAACAGTTTTTACTTTGCAGGTGTATTTTATGAATACAACAATTAAAGGAAGGCCTATTGTGCTTTCTTTGAGTTGTTCTCTTTCCTGTAGTGTGTTATATAGGTTTGTGTGCATGTAAATGGTCTGCAAATGCAACATTCCCAAAGTTCCCTCCAGAGGGAGTTTCTCTCCGACACACTGAAACACCTCCATTTGACTCCTTTGTTCACTTCCGTAACATAATGACATCACTTTGTAACCCATGTAACCCATTGTACGTCATAGGCTAAGGGGCGGGACATCTCTTAGCGGTTGACCAATCACAACAGAGCCGGCCAGTTAACCAATCAGAGCAGACTGGGCTCTGGTTTCAGACAGAGGGTGAAAAGACATATTAGATAGATATAGATATTTTGAAGCTAACATTTTAGCCCTTTTACTTAAGTAACATTTTGAATGCTGGACATTTACTTTTAACAGAGTGTTTCCACACTGTGGTATCATTACTTTTACTTAAATAAATTATAAGTATCTCTACCAAAGTGTTTATTCTATTTCAATCTCAGTCTTCCTTCCTGCTGTAGGAAAGATTAGATTAATGAAACAAGTTGACATCTAAACAAGCGAAGCAAGTATTCAAAAATATATATTTCGTTTTAAAAAAGGTGCTTGAGTTTTTTTTTTTTAATCACATTTCAATAATTATACAGAAATAGTGCAAATACTGTAAATCTTAAAAAGCATTTTCACAGCCAGGAATATATCTGTCAGAGTTTGAATCACATCTCCTCCCTATGAAATCTTTCTGTTATTCCAAATCGACCCCCTCTGACATGCATAATTTATCTCCCTCCTCTCTAATGTGAATTAAAAACACACAGTTGAATGGTGAATCACCCTGATTCCCTTTCAGCCCGATCCATTGCTTTAAACTTAACAAACTGGCTTTACCATAGAAAGCCAGCCATTACTCTGAGTCAAAAGCTAAATGAAAGACTTCCATTGACTTAAAATGGAAACCTGTCGTCTTGCCATCAGATCTTTTCCTCTCCTTTTCACCAGAAACTCTGCGTCAAGTGCGTTCGCCTCCTGCTCCTTGTCAAGTCTCTGTAAGGTAATTAGTGGAATTTCCTCCTCTGGCGCTTCATTATCAATGTGCCTTATTTACATATGATTTCAAACACCAGCCGAGCACTGGCATTTTTTTCCTTTTTACAGTTTTATGCGATTCGTGGGAGTGCAAACGGGAGACGTAGCGGGGGGCCTTTGGTTGCACCCTTTGCTTTTCTCTCCCATCTCTGACTTGTTCTGCGCTCGCTCTCTCTCTCTCTCTGCGAGCCGTGCAGCTGCTGCAGCTTCTTCTCTGTATCGGTCTCTCTCTCTCTCTGCACAGCGGGGGGTTTGGGAGCTGAAGACCTCCTCTGCAGGTGCAGCCTCTTCCTGCTGCCTCTCCCTCGCCTTTCTTTCACCATTTCCTCTGAAGATCACATTCATACCACTCACTCATTCACACTCAAGTACAAAAGTTTCCTCTGATGCCTGTTTAAAAAAATCACTTTCCCTTTTTTTATTCTTGGTTTTCTCTGTTTCTGCTTCTGTGTGTGTGTGTGTGTGTGTGTGTGTGTGTGTGTGTGTGTGTGTGTGTGTGTGTGTGTGTGTGTGTGTGTGTGTGTGTGTGTGTGTGTGTGTGTGTGTGTGTGTGGTGTGTGTGTGTGTGTGTGTGTGTGTGTTACATTCAAGAGACTACCGAATAGTGTTTAAGATTAACCTCGTAAATAACTTATTTTCAATCTAAAATCTTCTGACTTTATTTTCCAACACTTTTATAATATCATTTTAATTAAATGATATTTTCCTGATCATTTTGAGTGTTCTGCACGTCTGTGTTCGAGCAGCAGTGGACTGTGTCACACAAATGTCTCACAATATAGCACCATCTATTGGGCCTCTGAATGTGGTGCAGCCTCCGTCTTCACATGAATATTATGGTGAGAATTATCCTGATTTAGCCACACTCGGAGTTTGTATTAAAAATAGCTCTTTGCACTAATTAGTGGAGTTTTCTAATAACTTTTGATACTCAAAAAACGTTCTCTTCTGTTAAAACTGAATCTTAAAAGAAAAAAAACTTTAATTTACATGTTGACGTGGGTTAATAACATAAAATGATCTTGAGACGTAAGTCAAATATTTCTCAATGCTCCATATAACTCTGTGCCGTCCATTGCATCCTTTACTGTATAGCGTGTTGGATTTCTCTTGAATATCAACATCAGATTAGAGTAGAAGGTATTTTAAGTTTGTTTTAATGCTTAATAGATTGCTATTTCACTGAAAACAATATCAATATTATGGATTTATTTTATTTAACTGGATATTTCTGTCTATAAAAACCCAAAAAACTACTAATGGTGCTAAGTTGTGGAAGTGCATTATAAAATGATGTGTTAAAAGATAAATGGTTGCAAGGCAGAACGGTACCACTTTACAATAAGACGACCCTTATAAAGGGTTTACGAATAGTTTGTAATTCATTCATTAATTAGGTTGTGAACACTTTATAAATCATTAATAAGCTTTTATAAGTCATGAGGTAAACAGGGCAACTGTGACCGGTTGCTTGCCAAATAGTGAGCCCACATGTATCTGTACTGCTAAGCCTTATGGCTAACTAGCTTACTTCGTCTTCTTCATCAGCCAGCATCCTTGGTATCTGTTGTTCACTGGGTGTTTCTCAATGTCGAGTACGCTTGATTGGTAGCACATGTCTTCCGAGTCACTTACTTCAGAAGCGAGGCAAGAACACTTCCTGGCATTCGGAAAACGAAGAGTGGAACAGGCGAGCAAGTGTGCAGGTGTGCGTCATATGAGAGGCCCCGCTTTACATTTTCCACCACAGATTTGGGGAAATTGGTCCGTGCGCAAAGCATTGTGGGGATTTTAAGACCGCGGAGTCTACACACATGTGCAGCCTCGAGATTTCTCGCTACGAAGTACGCCGGGCTCGGTAGAATTCCAAGTATGCTGGACATTGGAACAGTCCTTCGGCGGCACTCGATGGCGTAGTATGCTTGAAATAGTGGCTCTGGAGCAGCTTTCCTCGACATTGAGAAACATCTAGTGAGTTGATTCTCGCTAAGTAGCCAATATAAGGCTTAGTCATCTTGCCGAATAGTGAGCCCACATTTATCTGTACTGCTAAGTCTTATAGTGGCTACTTAGATTATTTCATCTTCTTCATCAGCCAGCATCCTTGGTATCTGTTGCTCACTGAGTTGATTCTCGGTAAGTAGCCAATGTATGGCTTAGTCACCTTGCCAAATAGTGAGCCTGTGTTAGAACTTGTTGATAAATGGTTCTTAATGATTAATTAAAAGTGTTTACAACTTAATTCATAACCTAATTATAAACCCTTTATGAATCCTGTATAAGGGTAGTCTCATTGTAAAGTGGTACGGGCAGAACATATGCACGTAGAGTGAGAATAGTTGACTGTGTCTTGTCTTCCTGTTGACAAAGTAGTCATGGAGTTAAGTGTTTTTATCCATCAGAAAGTTAAGTGTTACTCCATTTGTTACGTGTGAGAGGGGGGTTAGTTTATTTGAATTCTTTGTTTGTGTTATCTTTAGGGGATGAAAAGTGCTGTAGAAATACATTTTGATCTGTCCCTCCTTGAATTGATTTTGTACCCTAGTACCAAACTCCTTCTGCCAAAATGAAAAGAAACCCAGTTGTTCAGCAGCGGCTCAGAGACTCTGAGTCTTCCAGTTTGAGTTTGCATGGACTTCCGACCCCTCGGCTGCGTACATAAACAAAGTTGAACGTTTGACCGATAAGGAGAGCTCTGCAGGAAGCTCGTGGCCCGAGCGTCTGTTTCTTTGTAGTGTCTCGAAGGCCCCTCTCACCTCTGACCCCTGACAGAGATAAAGCAATGTCACTGCCACGCAAGCCCCGCCCCCACCTCGTCTCTCCAACCAATCACGGCTCGCAGCAAAGAACTCCGTCCACGAGGTGACGGAGGTGAATGTGAAACTCCAGCACCGGCAGTAACTTAAAAAAGACAATATATGGGTGGACAGCAGCGGCTTTGAGAAATGTGCATATGGCATGTGAGAAAATGATAAGGCATCAGTGGAAGTGCTGCTGCCGAAGAGATAAAGATGTGGAAAATGCTGCTGGTTTCTGTCAGAGGGATGACTGCAGAAATCTGCTACTGAGCTATTTTACTACTGAGGTCCTGTATCCTCCCAACTGAGGGTCGATAGGTATTTATTTAACACGTATGTCATTTCCACAAAAGCAGATAATTGACAGCTCTCTTCTCACTGGGACGGTTGACCATTCACTAAGACCTGCCAAAATGAAAGGATTCAATTCTGGCAAACTTTGATGTTGCTGGTTTAAAGTCCATGAGTTGTTGAAATGACCATCTTTGAAATGTTTTCAGCTCGCTCATTTGAATCTTTTTAAACTATTTAACCTGTTAAACCCGAGAGGCCCCTAATCCGGGTCTGGCGGGTAGTTTTTTCACGAAACTGTGTCTCAGGGCTTCTTAATATTTAAAAATATATTAATGTGTCATACTCACTTAACGGTTAGAAACTCAGCTAACTGAAGATATGAACAAGTTTTACCGAAACAAAGCACAAGTCTCACAAGAAGCGTCTAAATGACCCCTGAGTGAAAAAATGCTAACGCACTTAGCACAGAACTCAAGGTAAAAAATACCCTTATTACTTATCGTAACTGCACAAACAAGATATCCGATTAAAGCTTTTAAAAGGGAAGTTATAGTCATTTGTTCTGGAAATGTCATTTTCGAGCCTGAGACCTGAAAAACAGGCTCAGGGCTAAACAGGTTAAAATATGTCCTTCAAGGATAAGACGCTGATTACAGTAACGTAGCCTGTTTGGTTATTTATGTAAAGAAGTATCTAGCCTTTCCTTCAACTTGTCTGAGGATCTCGACCACCTGCAAAAGACGTTCAAGAATCTCGTTTTCTCTAGAATTAGACATTTTTGTCTGCATTTTCCTTAAAAGTAACCCTTATTCCTCACCATCGGATGTTTGTTTTCTTTGGTTGCAAGGCCACTGCGAGAGAAACTTGCGCGCCACAAATTCTCTGGACAATGAGCGGCTCTATTCACACATTGGCTCCTACATCATTATTTAGACTTTGTACTATAGAGACTGGTGAGAATGATTCTGACATGCGTGTTCCCACATATAACATAATGTGTTCAAATGGGCTTAACATCGTTGTAAAAGTAGCTGAGAATGCTCTGCAATCCAAATATTTTTACTTTTGTATAGTCTGTATAAAATCTCTCTAATGCGGCTTTCACACCAGCGCTTTTCCCTTTCTAGCTCCGAGCGGGAGCTTTTCTGGTTCAGCTCTGGTTTCCCTTTTCTGCTCCCGCTCTGTTTACACCGCCCAGAGCTGCCGCTGCTGCGTCATGATGTCACCGTTTACGTGCCTGCTTCATAAAATCCAAACCGCGCGGAAATCCCTCACATCGACAACAACAACAATGGCCGATTGTATTGAAGCGCTGTTCGCTTTGGTTATCCTCTTACGAAACGAAATGGAAGGCATCGGACGACTTTACAAGGGACGACTTTACTTGGAACTTTACAAACATCACATGCGAAATGCAAGACTTCTTTGTGGTCTTCAGCATCTACTTCAACGAGATGCCCCTGCCCCCGCCTCGACGTAAGAGAGACGTAAGCGACGCCGCCTCTTAGCTCCGAAGCTCTTGCCTCTAGACCGAGAATTGTTTGGAGCTGGAAGTGAACCGGATTCCGGAGCTAAGAGGCGGCGCCTCTGCGGTGTGAACAGGAAAAACCGGTACTTTTCAGCTCCAGCTCCGAGCCGGAGCTGAAAACGCGTTGGTGTGAAAGGGGCATGAGACCTTATTTCAGGCGCCTCTCCAACAACCGTTAAAACACTTTGAGAAGTCTGGTCTATGATATATATATGATTTTGTCCACACAGCAGTACCTTTTTGTGCCGCGCTGCTCCTCTGAGCTGCTGTTCCGGCTCTGCACCAGCGTGAGAAAGTGGGACATTTTGGTCCAGAGAAGAGGTTCAGCAGGCGTACCACATTTTGGCTGGATGGAGTGGATTCTCCCCATCTCTGCTGCGATCAATCTGCGGAGAGAAAACATTTTCTCCGATGAGCCTTGGCCGACGCTGTTATTGCACAAACAACCATTATCAGAGGAGAAACACAACTCCCTTTCCATTTAGCCTCCTTATCTCCTTCTTCTTCTCAAAAAACGGGCCTTGTTGCATCCGTGACCTTTTGACTACTTGAGTGCTCGTTCTTGAGGATCTCAGTGGTGACATCAAGTTTTCAGGGGCTCTCCCCACAGAGGGTATCAGCAGCGGGGGGTGGGGGGTGATGGATGCGTATCACGGCCCTGGCTGTCCTACTGTCCTCTGCTGAGAATAATGATGCTGGACTGTTATCATGAGGGTGATGAATGGAACCGGGGGCATGACTAAACAACATTGCCCAACATGAAACATGACTTAAGTTATTTAAAAACACCTGCATTAGCACAATTGAAAGGCTCAACATACACACATGACCTTGAGCCACCACTGACTGTTTTCTTAGAAAACAAATGGTCAACGTTTCACATTTCTTTCAATAAACCTGAGGAATGTATACAGTCTGACCACGGCATGGACCTGGGAAAAATAGCCATGGGCATCTTAATGGGAATTTCTCTATGATATTGTAGAAACCATTTTGGCTAGCAGTCACACTCAATGAAACTGTGGTAAAGGATATCTTAACTACGATATTATGCTTCAACTTTTAGAGTGAACATTTAAATCAGTAGTTTCAATAATAAATTCAACGATTTAGTGCGAATTCATTGCAGTCACAAGTCATTCTGACTGTGACTCAACACATTGTTTTCATATAATTATGCAATAATAACTCAATACATTTGGCAAATGTGTTGAAGGAATAAAATCTTTACAAAAAGTTTCTTTAAACAAAATAAAGCGTCAGTGCATGGTCAAATGTGTAGTGGATTGCTGATAACATATATCTTTGTTTCATTATTTATTTATTGCATGCTTTTGATGTTCTTACAGTACTTTTATTCTGGAAAATAAGAACATGTATAGTCAGTATATATATATATATATATCGAATTCTTTTAAAAAAAGGCTGTATTTCATCAAATAGCACAATCATTATAGCAAGCCAAAAAACTGCTAAATGTTAATGCCGTTTTAGAATTTCTTTGAAATGTGAGCATGACTTGTTTAAGATTTAACTCTCAAACAGTGAATTCTGAAGAAATGTTCAAATCTACATCACATTCTGTCTCTTTTAAGGCCAAATTCCTACACAATGATCATCATAGTGTAGTTTAAAGCTGGGAGTGAGAGAACTGTGAAAGTGAAATATGAACCAGGCCCTTCCCAAAGCCTCTGATCAAATCAACCTCACAACAGAACCACATGAGTGTGAGAGCTGCTGGCAGAGACCTGTAGATGGAGGGTTGCAGCAGCAGCTCGTCCTCCAGCACGGTTCCTCTCACAAACTCGTAGCAGATGCCGTTCTGGAAGCTGCAGAAAATCTGCGGCCCGCAGCCGTGGGCGTGCAGGACCTGAAACATCTCCAGCTCCCGGTCCCGGTTCACAAAGAGCTCCGTCATCTGGCCGTACAGACGCACCAGAACACAGCCGGGCTCCTGGAGAGGCGCCACGAAGCAGCCCATCAGCTGGTTGGTGATGCCCTCTGTGAACCTCTGGAGAGGAGATCACAAGGGAAATTCCCAATAAAGATGATTAGGGCCAAATGTAAAAAAAAAGTTTGGAGATATGACCAACATTTTTATTTATTTAGATTGAAGTCAGAATTCAGGAAAAAAGTTGGAATTCTGGAAAAAATAAAGAAACAAATCATTAGAAAATATTTTTTTCAAAAAGGTTGTTTTTATGCTTTCTTTGTTCTTGTTTAATCCGAATATATTTGTTTGACTTTGATCCAAGAGTCTACAGAGTTCTGAAGATACAAAACACGTGTAAAGAAAAAAAACGTGAGCCAAATGTGAAAGATTTGTTGCGATCCGACCAAAGGTCATGTTTTTTAATTTTTTAGATGAAGCCAGTTTCCTGAGAGAAAAAAGTGTTTGTTTTCTTTGTTCTGGTTAAATCAGAAGTATTTGTTTTGAGGGGGGGAGTATTTGTTTTCTTCAGAACATCTCAGAATTCTGACTTTGATCCCAGGGTCTACAGAATTCTGAAGTTAAAAAAAAAGGTGAAAAGAAATCTGAAATAAATGAATTTCTTTTTCTGCAAATCTCAGAATTCTGACTTGATTTGATTTTGATGAAGTACAATTTTAACCCAGAAGGGTCCTGCTTTATAAACGAGTGCCCTGGCCTTGCAGAGTGACTGCAACAAAGAAACACAACCATGTAATAAAATGAATGTACAATTAGACATAAAAACAGAAAAGACGATACAGGTGTTCACAGCACACGCAACAGCATGACAGATGGAGAGCTGCAGAGAGCTACAGCCTGACCTTGTTGACGCTAAAGATCACACTGTACTGTGTGTGTGTGTGTGTGTGTGTGTGTGTGTGTGTGTGTGTGTGTGTGTGTGTGTGTGTGTGTGTGTGTGTGTGTGTGTGTGTGTGTGTGTGTGTGTGTGTGTGTGTGTGTGTGTGTGTGTGTGTGTGTGTGCAACAATACCACAGTCACCACTGTTTGCCTGCAGAGGCCCCATCGGACGTCTGTTGTCATTCAGTGGTTTCTCAAAGTCTCTCATTCTCTCCAGTCTCTACGGTTTTCCCTGAGCCTCAGAGAGGAGCCAACAGTTCTTCATTTAGATGGAAAGTGAACAAACATGCCCACCTTGACATCTGATCAAGTATTTATGTGGAGGATGAAGACTTTCCACTGGCTTTGACACTGCTATCAATGTCTCTTCTATTATATCTTTACACAGGCAAGATTTCAGATTTGCTGTACTACTACTACAGCTACTACTGTACTACTTAAGCGTCTTTGAGTTGTGAAAAGCGCTATATAAATAAAATGCATTATTATTATTATTACTATTTCTTTTATATCATTCCTTTATGGTCATTTCAAAACAAAGTGTCATTATTCTCATCGTTGTTATGGCCTTTCTCTACCCAAAGAAATGTTAGATTACAGTGTACCTGATTTTATACGGGGGTAAAACAAGGCACATATTCAGGATTGCCTATACATTTGCCAATCAGTTCTTAAATGTATTTTAATTATTTATCATATTTAAAGCGCTTTCTCTTTCATTTAAAAACATCTCTGTTAACTTATATTCCTTTGTTCCTTCAAGCCCTACATTTGATCTAATGTCTTATCAATAGAAAAACTATTAAAATATATATTTTTTTTATTTATTCAATTATTTGGTTATTTAACAGGGATAGTGCACTTTCATAAAAATTGACATAAATGCGCAAGAGTTAGCCAAGTGGCAATTTTTCTTCTGTAGTTCTTGGATAGTCTGTTGTTTCAGAGTCACAATAAAACGTATTTTAATATTTAAAAATAACACATTTATGAAAACATTTGCAAAATAGAGGCTCCCAATAAAGGTAATTCCAATAAAAACATATTATTGCATAGTAAAAACTTTAAAAAAGGAAGGAAAGGAAAGAAAAGGTTGTAAAATAGAAATAAATAGAAAATACAAGTTGGTAGTTTGAAATAAAATCTCTGCATAGAAATTTAAGGCACAGGTGTCGCAGTGGGAACTATCTGTCCTTCCCTTCATATATTCCAAACAGACGAACACAATACTTCATTAAAAGGGACTTTTGGGACCTAAGGCTGAAGGGAGACATCCAGTCTTTGTGTACACGGCTGGACCTTGTGTAGATTGAGAGGTCACTCACCAATGTGCTGTCACCTTACAAACATAAACCCTATTTCTCTGAAAGATTGGACCTTGTGTTTGCACATGGGACCAGAATGGGATTGTCCTGTCAGATTCTCCGACAACACTACACATCTGTTCCCAGGGTTGATAAAATAAAAACCGTCTACTTTTGTTGTGAGGTTACCTTGGCTTTTCTGTTGGATTCATACCGGGTTTTTTATACATATAGAGCAAGATGAGACATTTGAGTTTTGTGTTACATTTTATCACCATGCTCTTAATGTACAGTATCCGTCCGATTCAATTTATAACAATTAAAAACATCAGCTAGTTGTACTTTAAGGCACTGACACACCAAGATCAGTCAGTCTCTGCACGAACATTTCTTGGTCATCACATGATTTACCACTTACTCATACAGTATATTTTTTATTCGGTTAGCCGTGGCTCTGAGAGAACTTTTAAGTTTGAGCGAATCAGTGCACAAGTAGAACAACTACATTGATGGAAACAAGCAAACTACTTAGGTCAAGAGGACATCTTGATCGTTGTATTTTGACAATGACATGACCTGACTTGTATGAAGCTTAGTAAAGGGAGAGAGTGCTTTGGAAATGGTTGGGAAAATGTAGCTTTGTATTAATAAAGGAATCGTAAATGTCTGCAGTCTTATCTATCCCCTTAATACAGACTACCACAATCTGCTGGTTTGCAATGTGTTCAATTTAGACTTTTTGACCATGATACAGGCGGCAATGATGGTTTGGTTTGCTGTGGCCTTAAAACATGGTTACAATTTAAAAAGCATAACGCTGGCAATATTCTAAAGTCTTGTTAACATCAAAAAACTTCTATGAATAGAAAAAAAACGAACAATGTTAGTCTGTTTCTCAATAATATCTGACCTCTCCAGTCTCTGGTTTTCCACTCTTTGCCCAGTGGGTAAATCTATAGATCAAGTTCACTGTCACTACCATTTCATGACCTTGCATGCTTAAAGTGCACCTATCATGCTATTTTTAGGCAATAGCATAGGTCTCAGATATATAAAACATTTAAAATATATAAAAAACATGTCTATGAAATGTTTTGCTCAAAATATCAAACAGATCACCCATTCTAGCCATGGATGAAGAATAAGAACTGGAGACAGCGTGGGAGGCGGGGCCTCGTTCATTCCTATGAGTTGCTCATTGGCGCATGAAGTCAAAATTGCCCAACTTTTGAGAGAGCGAAACGTCACAGATTACCCAGAATGCCTCAGAAGTACCCGTATGTGCGCCATATAGAGCATGCGCAACTTTAACCACGCCCCCCAAAAGGCTCGTTCACATCAAGCCGTCCCGTGGGTTAGATGCACGTTCATAATGCAGAGGAAAATAACTCTCAGAATAACGTTATTAGCACATTTTACAACTTGAGGACCTAATGTATAGACCTAATAAGGGCTATACAAATGTTCATACTGGGTAGTTTATTTGGTTAAAAAAAAAATTATCCAACGATTTACAGACCACTCTTTCCCCATGTTAGTCAATGGGAAAAAGTATTTCCGGGCCCAGGGACATCACGAACTGATACGGAAGTTGCAGTCCCGCCGTTTGGACACTACGAATTGTGGGAACAGAGTCCGGAGCACTTCCTGGGGGCTTGATTCTAGCCATGCCTCATATCCCTCTATTTCACTTCCTGTTTCAAAAGTGCTGATTTGGGGTAAAAAGCTTTAGAAAAAATAAGAATTGATAAAAAAAAAAAAATTTAAAAGGAGGGGTCTGAGCTCATGCGGGACCCGGCAGCTACTGTCTAAACTAAATGCTGCCGTGATGAAACGCCATATCATGGATTATCAAGGATTGTTTCTGAAACAGTATGGAGCTCAAAGGCTTTCTCTCTTGCCGGTTATACCACAAGGTGAGTTCCTTTTTACTTCCTGCTTCTTCACACACATGCTCTCCAGTACAGGTTAGCTCTGAGTGTTAGCGATGCTAATGTAAACACCGACCATATTACGTCCAAAACAGTCGGGCATTGTTTCTGATAGCAACGTTTCTGATTGGGCCGTGGGTCCACATTTCAGATATTACGTGATATCGGACGCAAATCTGGATCAGCTCCGTTGTTCCCCGTTTTTAGAGATTTGGGTACGGAGGAAAAGAGAGAGGGTTTTATTTGCTGACGCTGCGTGAGTTCCCTGACACACCGGGGACACATCTTTATGTATAAAAGACATCAAAAAGGTCATTTTGCATGATAGGTCCCCTTTAAGTTAAAAATGTAGATTTTCCATACTTTTGTTGAAAATGATTTTGTTTTTAAATGAAATGTGTATCGTCAGTATTATCTAACATACAAATGTACGTATGAATTCCTACAGACTTAAACATAACACTTAAGATAAATTACAATAATCACACAGCACACTTTATGTGATCTGGCATCAAGTTACTCAGTCACCAACAAAGGTGATATAACTTGTTTTGGTTGATTATGCTTTTATGCAACAAGACGTGATGCTTGAAGAGTCAATTTCAGCACAGCCAATCATAGAAGAGTATTCTGTCCTGTAACAGGTGCACACCCACACAGTCCTGAAACACTGAGCCCACATGAGCACTTGCGGGTAAAGTTAATCTGGGCAGACACTTTTTATGAACCTTCAGGTTTGTTAACTCAAACAAAACAGCTTCTGCGCCTGGCTGCATATTGATTTTTTTGTTGGCATTTTGAATCAAGTTTATTCGAACAAGAGACTGTATCTTTAACAGTGTTGACAAGAAGAAGGAACAGCGGCGTACGGTCTTCTTTGTGGAATTAAAGTGAGAAGAAATACATGGAACCATGCCTGGGAAATGCATACAATACGGTCTATTCTTCAGAGAAGTTCAGTTTTATGTCACAGAATCCTGTCAAGATGGCAATTTGCAAAAGATGTCTCCAATAACATTTAACAAGTTCACTATGGTTTATGAAGCATCTTTTGAAGGAAGCCATGGGGGAAATTGATCGTGGAACTGCTCAAATTGCATTAACACAAAGAGTGAAACAGCATGAAGTCTGCCTTATATCCCCTGTGAACACAACAAGTCTACCTTGGATGAATGGAGGTGTTATGAAAGTGTAGGGAAATAATATTGAATTCAAAGTTCCACCACTGCACATCTCCCTTTACTCATCTTTCATCAGTGCGGCTTATTTTGTGAAGATACTCAAACACAATCAGAAGGACAGAAACTACCAGTATTCATAAATGTCAGTGATATTATGCAGTGACAACAAAATGTATTTTGAGATGTCATGTGACATAAAGGGGGACTTAACATCTAGGTTAGGGTTAGGGTTGCACAGTAAAGATTCAGTAAACCAAACCTTAATGTGGTCAATCAAAACCATTTGACTATTTAAACAAAATATGATTAATGGATCCCAATAATAAATGTTCCAGATGTCTAAAATAAACCTTGTGCAGCTTGGATGGCATCCTAATAACCCACGCTTTCAACAAAACTTGGAAACCTTCCCTCATTAACTAGGCAGTTGCAGTAATAGAAAGTAGAGTTGGGAGGTCTATGAGTTTGTCAAGTTTTTCCTAATCCAATTCACGTAGTTCAAATCTAATAAGGGGTATCTAATGAACGAACACCCAATAACATGAACACTATCCAACTACAGAGTTCTAACAACTGAGAAGTATTTTTCTGTGCATTACAAGGATTAGCAGTGATCGTGAACATCCAAGTTTCAGTAAACCAACCTACCTAACAACCAATATGGCAATGCAATCATAAACAGATAATGCTGTTGAGAAAGTGTATCTTTTATACATTTATTATTGAATCACAAATACTGAGAGAAAAACATCAACTTGCCTTCATCTGAATGTCCTGTGCATCCCAATTAGGACGGAGTCTGCCGAGGAGATCCAGGATTCCTTTATGAGGCTTATGTTCGTCAATATGAAGGTCAAAATGAAGAAGCTGATTCCTAGCACCACCACTCTTACTGTCCATCTTCAACAAGATGAGCAGATACTAGGCCTTAAGAAAAAGTTTGAGGTCCAGAAATCTTAAGGTCCAGAAATCTTCAGAAACAAAACTCTACTCTGTTGGAAGACCATCAAAACATCCTCCGAACGCTGGCCACTTGGATCAAGCTTTTGGAGGCCAACCGTGGGTTTAATCTTGAAACAAGAAGAAAATGAATAAAGCAACGTTGAAAAGAGGTAGAAAAGTCAAAATAATCCACAGCAGAGCGTGGTGTGATTTGCTTCTGTCAGGACATTTGGAGAGCCATTGGCAGGTGACTGAAGTTGTCCAGTTGTGTGTCCAGTGACTCAGCAGTCCAGCTTATCAGGGGCCAATGTTCCTCTGGGCATCTCCATCCACACTCGTGCAGAGTTTACATATTAACCACTGCAGGGACCTCTGCAGCAGGCAGGGGTAGTGTTAAAGGTCCCATGTCATGCTTTTCCGGTTTTGGACACTTTAGCTGGCCAGGATGGCTGGTTTAGCTGGTTTAGCTAAACCAGCTAAACCAGCCATCCTTGCCAGCTAAAAACAACAGCATCCATCTATCACCAGCTTATGTTTAATAATTGTATTAAATAGTCCATTCGGGAAGCTTACCAGAATTCCAGGTGACAAGCATACATTGTTTAAATACTGGTATGATTATTTAAACCAGAGAACATAAATATATTACAAAGATTCATTGTATCATGTATTCTGGTATCTACCAAAATAAAGACATTGTATAGTGTTCATAACAGTATTTTAATTTCATAAATAGCAATAAATAGCTAGTTAATATAATAAAATACACAGTAACAATACAATAATTATACAAATAACAACCAACCTGCAAATCAACCTATACATCAAAATAAATATATTATCTAAAATAGGTGCATTTGATTTAAAATAAAAGTAATAAATAGAATTCAATATTTAAATGGTAACAAAAACAGTAACACTATGTATGATAAGAAAAAGGCAACAAAGAAGTGTTTTTCCTTGTGTAGCGTCCAGCCTTTCCCAATGTGGTCTGCATTTCTGTCTGTTGAAACCACTTCTTGAAGCAAACTGAAAATAAATGTACACATATAAATACACTGTAAAAAGAAAACTTGACATTTACGTTAAAGGTATATATATATACACCTTTAACGTAAATGTCAAGTTTTCTTTTATATATATATATAGGTAATTCACTTCAGAAACACTTTTTGTAATATTCCATGGAATGCTCTTAACATCCCGATAGCAATTAATAAATTAAATGCTTTGACAATAAATATATACAAATATTTCATCTGTGGAAGCCGCATGCCCGGCGCCGTGGGAGGGCCAGGCCCTCCCATTTGACATTCTTGCCCTCCCCCAATAAACACGATTTTTATTATATATATAAAAATTAAAAAATATTTTTTTTAATTATAAATAAACTGTGAACTTTTATGCTACGATGTATGTGATGTCAGATAGTAACTAAAACAAAAAAAAATCGCAGGCTAAGTCAAATAAATTCATGTGTCTGTTGTGATTTGTGATTCGTCCACATTTAGACCAATCACAGTGTCACACTCTGCCGCCTATTCTGGATTTGTTTATTGTGCATTCTGTAGACTCCCATTTATGTTTGAATTACACAATGGACATCATAAATTGTCTCAAAAGGTCTAAGGATTTATTAAAATGAAATAGCGATGAAATAACTGCAGCCGATGGTCCTGCTGGCGACCCTGCAACTGCCGTTGCAGCAGCACGCCTTAATGTCACAAGCTTGACCTCGGCAAACCCCGGGGCTGAGTTAGCAAGCCCAAGCCTTGACTCATCAAGGCGGCCGCCACCAACGCTGTCCTCCGAGGCACAGCTCCTTGTGAACCTACCATCACCACCTGCGTTGCCACACCCTGTACCACACCCGCCATGCATCATTCTCCTCCTCCTCCTCCTGCTCCGTGCCGGTGCCTCCACTACAGACGCTACCTCGCAGCACATCAACAGGTACTATTGGGCCAGCAACCGCTCAAAGACCAACAGCCCCAGATGATCTTGGGGTTAATAAACCCAACCAGGTGAAACTGGATCGTTATCCAGGGAGATTGTTTTCAGGAAAGAAGCGCACTTTTGCCGCTGCATGGTACAACAACAGACCATGGCTTGAAGATTCGTTAAAAGCAGACGCAGCCTTTTGTTTCCCCTGTAGACAGTTTAAAGTAAACACGTCTTCATCTGATGCGGCTTTTACTGTCAAAGGTTTTTGCGACTGGAAACACGCATTACAGACTGATAAAGGACTGCTAAGGCATGCTGCATCAAAAGAACACATTTCATGTGAGCGTTTGTGGAGAGAGAGACAGATACGCGAGGAAACAAATACGGAAATTAGTACTTTGGTGCAGATCAGCTGGCATGGAGCCGTTATTACGAGTCAGCTGTCGTTGATATTGTAGATGTTTAGCTGTCAACCAACTCCCTCTCAGAGGTGACCACGATTCACTCCACAGCATGTCCGACTCAGGCAGTGGGCTCTTCCTGTCGCTGTTTGAGTATACGCTGCAGTACAAAGATGCAGAGTTGGCCTAAATAATGTACAGCATTCCCCACACAGCAACATACAGCTCTCACGACATGCACAATGCCATAATAGAGCTAACAGCAGCTCATCGTCTCCGTCTCTACTATTTCTCTCCGAGTGCAGCGATGAGGAAGCTGCCATCCGTAACCAGTGTGCCTTGCTCGTGATTTACCAGTGTTTGTGCTGCCACGCTATGTTGCCCTTTATTTGTGTATTTGCGATAAGTGTGCGTCTTTGCGCAATGCTGTTGGCCTCGCTGTTTGATATATATATATTGTGCCGCAGGCCCGCAGCACGTGACAGGGTTGTGTGCCCTCCCATGAAAATCATATGCCCTCCCTTTAGATTTGTTCTGGCGACGGGTCTGGGAAGCCGTGGCGCTGTAAAAAGCACAACCAATCATCTGAGCCGGCCCGGCTAAAGTAACTGGATGGCCTACCTGCCTGTCAGCCTTCCATCTGTGCACAAACTTATCTCGTGCCCTCATTGGTCATGTGAGCGTTGATTGATTGATTGATTGATTGAACAGTTTATTAACAGCTTGTATATTGGGTACAGTACAGTACAGCTCAAAACATACAATTGTTAAGGGGATGCAGACCAGAGAAAGACTTTCGTCTTGTTTACATCAGGGTCCCCCCATTTCCAATTCATCATGTCATTTAAGACATATAAGACATATTTGACATACAGATGGCTTATTTACAATTTACATACAGGTGGTTTTTTTCATACAGATTGCTTATTTACAATTTTCATTTTAGATTTCGTTCTAATACATCCTAACCGGACATTTAAGACATACCAAGTCTACAGATATACAGTTAGTAACAGAGTCTAAAATGCGAGTATATACATAGATGGGGGGGGGGGGGAAGCTGTCCATTGAACGACAGGTTGAGATTTGTACCATTACCGGGGCCAGTTTTGCAATGCTCTCCCCCGAAGGTGCTCTTTAAGAGAGGTTTTGAAGGTAAGTATAGTTTTACTTTCCTTTACAGTTGTGGGAAGAGCGTTCCACCTTAATGTGGCATAATTGCGAAACGTGTATTCCCCCTTTTTTGTGCCAAATCTGGGTTTCACATGATTTGTGGAGCTCCCTCTGGTGTTATGATCATGGTATTCCTTGACCTTTGGGAAGAATTTTGACATGTACATGGATACCATAGAGGTGTAGTGGATCTTGTAGACCAGGCCCATTGCAAGTAGCTGTACTCTGTCGTCTACTCTAAGCACAGCGTTCGTGTGTGTTGGGGGAGGGGCTCTGTAAGGAAGTCTGAAGGAAGGGGCAGATTTTTTCCAGCTGCTTACTTTCAAATTCTAGCGCACTCGAGCTGGTTTCTCAATTCTTACCTACGCTACCTTTAACATTTGGGCTGCTGTGGTTGCCAGAACTTGACCGTTAAAGTATGGTAAAATACATTACAAATTACAGTTGGTTGGCATAGACGTTACATTCAACAATTGCTTGTGATGAATTAGAATGGCAAAAACAAATAGAGCTACGGTGCAGCTGTATTATCTGGGAAATAGAAGAATCGGATCAGGATTCGGTATTGGCAGACAATCAATATCAAATGAATCGGATCATTATTAGCATCAGCATTTGATCACCTTTGTCGACTTGCAGCCTAAATACAAAGATAACTCCACTCCTCTCCTACCACTCTTACCTCTAATAAGCCTTGGTAGAACTAGTGTCCGAGTCATGGGGTCCAGAACTGACTGAAGACATGTGGAACCAGGCAGGCATGGTTCTATGTACAGGAAACTGGAACTTTGAACAGGTGTTTTCATCTTTTCTGCCTGAAGATTCACAACTTCTTGATCAGGTGTTTGATGTGGGCAAACTACTATGCTAAAATGTATAATAATAATTTAAAAAACTACTGAAAAATGCAAAGAAATCAGGGAAAATCTAACAAAACACCTTCTCTGTACTCAAAATGACTACTGTAGGTAAAAAAAGATTCAAGTGACATGTAATCAATTAACTTTTACATATGGGATGTTAAGACCCTATTTAACAGATATCAGTCAACGTTACTAACCACAAAGACCTGACACTTGTGTCCAAATGGAGCTCAACATATTTTCTCTCCATAAACTGAGCTCTCTTGCAGTGATTTTCTCTGATACTTGATGCCCCATCTAACATTAAACTGAGCGTGCAGCAAACATCAATGCAGTCTCAAAGGCTGTAAGCAGAATTTACATTACAGTTTACTTTATTGAAGTTCATTCAAGCTAAAAGCAAGCATACGCCGAAAATCATGCCAATAAGATGACTTATGCTTCTGTAAATAATTGCCAGATGCATTACACTTGGCTGCACGAGCAAAGACTTAACACGGGTGGAGTCTATTGTCTGAACCGAGTCACTAGAGAAGCCATTTAAATATCATAGATGTAGTTAATTCAAACACGACCTTCCCTGCTAGCTCAATGCCATGGAACATTTCAAAATGATCACTGTGTAAACACAAAACGAATTTCATAAACATTGGAGCAGCATGTTTTCAGTCTGTTAAATTATTTAGATGTTGGGCCAATGTTTACCATTTTGCATCATTACAGTAATTGCCTAGAAGTCACGAATGCGGTGATCGTCTTGAACCGAATACTTTGCAAGCTTTTAGACGAAAATGAAATTCACTTGCCATCAAAGAGCATCTCATCATCAAAGATGTCGTGTATTGAAAGAGAGATGAGTGTCTCGATTAAAAATGTGAGGGTCAGGCAGTAGAAAGGAGAAGTGGAGTCGGTGTTTGTGTGACTGCATGTACCTCTCAAGCACAGCTGAACAAAGGCTGGGAGAAAAACAGACGACAGACAATAACCCAGGC